ATTCAAGCGATAAACTGATCAACTATACAATTCGAAATAAATGAGATAACAAATACGGGAGATAATCCTTCCACAAGAAGGATCCCGTTGATCGAATTACCCATCTAGCTATATTATGAGCTATAACATTGCGTTCACGACTAACATGACTACAATTTCCACAATTCAACAACCGCAAAAGATCATTAATATCAGAAAAAACACTGTGCAACGGGTCGTTAAAATGTTGATCTGAGATGCCAATAATAGTAGAAGCAACGTTTGTTTTTGCAGATTGGAGCATAAAGCCTGAACCCAATGCGAATCGAAGTCCGAATCAGAGGGCCATAGCTTTATCTGTTTCCAGGTTAAAGTACCCTGACTGTTGGGAAGAAAATGCGGGCCAACACAGACCATATGAATCACAAATCCAACCATGAAAACCAATCGATTCATCGAGCCGCATCGCAAAAAAGAGTAAACCCATTTTAACACGTATCTAGGCCACTCCAAGATAGTATGGATGTCGGCGTAATCAATCGTTGAATGCTGGAAGAAAAAGAATTCGCGACGTTTATCTCTTCTAACCATATGTTGTTGATTACCCAGATTTGTTCCACACTCCTTGCTGATATGCCATGTTGAATACAGTTCCTTTCATTCCAAATAAGCCACAGAAAAATTGCGAACCCTGGCATTTCTCTTCCTCTATCTCCATCCAAAATTTGACAAAAAAATAGATATGAAACTCTTACCTCGCAAACTAGCCAGCATGTCCCACCAACCGGCCATTTTCCACAGTCTTTTAACCCACCCGCACTCGAAAAATACATGGACATTTGATTCCCAACCTCCACATATAGCACATTTTGCTTCCACGTTAATGGACCTGCGAGTCAGATTTTCGGAAGAAGGGAAAGCCAAATGACACAGTTTCCAAAGAAAATTTTTTATTTTCGGTACGAATTTCAATTTCCATAATCCTTCCACCATCGAGATGTTCGGTGAGAGCTCAATTCTCGAGGATCGTCTGATCGGCTTTAAGCACATGGTTGGCACTCTTTACAGTATATGACCCATTTTTAGAATAGTGTCAAATAACTCGATTGAACTACGGTTATTGCTCAAGGGAACAGATAAAATCTTCTGTGCATCAATTGGTAGAAAAATATCGTTGATCAGGTTCTCATTCCAAGCCCCGCTAACCCCAATAAGATCCTTTACTCGGTCAATACCGAGTATGGGTTGAGAGAAGGGTTTAAATTTTTTAAAATGAGGAATCCATGGATCTGAGTAAATTTTTATTAACGCCCCATCTCCCAGTCTCCATCTCATACATGCTCGCACGTCAACTTGGAACCTGATAAATGACTTAAGAATAACAAAGGCAGGAGAACGTGGTTTTTGATTAAAAAAAAAAAAAAAGATGCTAACATGAACACTTACAATTATATATCGAAACCTACAGATTATTGGTGGCTTAAAACAACTGAGAGGGTAAAACCACCACATAAAGTCCAGATGGATGAAGAACAGGGGCAACTCAACTTCAACTTTAAGTTGCCCATCTGAAACTCTGAAATATACATTTATAGCTACCCAATTTAATCAGGAAATCAAGAAAATTGTATTTCTCGTTATTTCCAATCTATTAAAATGTCATATAGATACAAATTTCCCAATGAGAGAGAAATAGAAGGGCACATTTTTCACTAACACGAGTAGGGCAGCAATCCATTAGAGAAAAAACACAACTATCAGACAACAAACCGATGAGCAACATCATATACACAGTAAAAAACATGAGTCACAAGAAAAAAAAAAATGAATCAAACAATTTATGTATCACCGCAAATTCATAACTATTTGCCAATTAACAACAGCGTTACCAGTAAAGACGATCCAAAAAACTAAGAAATCACTACAACATGTTAGAATATGGTAACCTTAGATATGGTATCATATGTGTATCTCGTAGTTTAGGAAAGATATTATTCGATATTGTTTCCTTGTACAGTGTCATCCTACCTATATGTACACGGTTATACTTCACAACAATTACAATGAAAAATTATTCCCTAATTTCTATTCTTTCTATCATGGTATCAGAGCGGGTTCCGATCCTAATTTTTTAGGACGAAATCAGGCCATCATCATCTGCTACCTATTTTTTCCGGCGATACCTTTCCCGGCGTAATGGCCACCGACGAAAACAGGGCTCTGTCAACTGGTAATTCCAGTACTGATTTGTCAGAGAAATTCGATCGGTTCCTCCAAACCCTGCAACAGCCTACACAAACAGCAATCCCACAGTCAATTACACTTAATGTAAAACTCAATCAACATAATTTTCCGATTTGGTCCAGACTCATGAAAGTTGCAATCGGGGGCAGAGGAAAGCTCCGGCATCTGACCGGAAATCCTCCTCCACCATCCACAGATTCCCCAGAATATTCAAAGTGGGAAGAGCACGATCTCACAATCTGTTCATGGCTCTTAGAGAATATGGAGCCAGATGTGATGCTGAACTACGCTGAGTTCCCATCAGCTCGAGAAATATGGAATAATATGACCCTGACTTTTGCTCAGAGTCGGGATGGGGTTCAGATATTCGATTTAATCGTAAAAGCCAACACAATTCGACGGGGCACCGATTCTATTGAGGATTTTTTCAGTAAATTACAGAGGCTCTGGAGGGATATTGAGCAACGACAAATTAATCCCATGAGGTGTCCAGAGGACATTGCCATATTCAACCAACTCCGGTCAGAACAGAAACTATATCAATTTCTTGCTGGAGTCGGAGAAGAATTCGCTACTGACCGACGGGAACTCCTGAACCAAGAACCACTACCAGCGGTTGAAACCGCATATGCAACAATCAGAAGGGAGCGGGACAGGAGAACCGTTATGGGACACAACGAGCCGTCACCGGCCGAAGCCTCGGGTATTGGGTCGGGTCTCAAAACCCAAATTCAAATCGGAGAAGGGACTGCTGCCAAGAATAGCAGCGTCGCCACCAAACTCCGGTCAGAAGGAGCAGGTTCATCACGCCGGAGCGGCGGCGACAAATCGAAGCTATGGTGCACCCACTGTGGCCGGAATCGCCACACAAAGGAGACGTGTTTCCTCCTGATAGGGTTTCCAGAAGGGTGGGATAACCGGCAACGAGAAAGCCAGATTAGAGAGGCAGCAGGTTCAGTTCACAGAAAACCAACCGCCACCATGGCTGTTGAAGCCGGCTCTGCAAAACCTGAAGAGAAAGGAATGGTGGCTAGGGCACAAATGGCGGCCGCTGCAAAGGAAGGTAAAGGGTGTGGATTTGGTGTTTTGGGTCAGGGGGAGTTCTTTTCTAGTATTGGGCCTGGATCTAGTCCATGTTATTTGACCCAAAATGCAGAAAAAGACCCACGATGGCTCATCGATAGTGGGGCAACAGACACCATGACATTTGACCAAAAGGACTTTGTTTCGTTATCCCTGTCTCCCAACAAATTAATCCAGAATGCTAATGGTGGACTGTCAGAATCTCAGGGGACAGGAGAGATAGATTTTTCAACAGACGTTAAA